AAAAGCCAGGACTCTGATTCCTAATTCAGCTCCTCAGCAGCTGGGTGACCTGAAGCCTTGGCTCCCTGAGGTCCGCCATGCAGTGAACTGCAGCATGGGCTGCCTTTCTCTTGCTTTTCCAGCATGAACTTCACACATGCCCTTTTTTGATTTTCTTAGGATTATCACTGCTTACAAAATAGGAACAACAGTGATGACAAAAATAATGCATAATTATATCGACCTACAGTTCTATAGATTAAAAAGCATTTTACGTACATAAGCTCATTTGTCCCAGAAACTCGCAGGAATTATGTGTTACCTGATTTTTCTTGTAATTTTTAGGAACAACAATATCACGGGCATATGAAATGTAAATCTTACTGCAGTTCTTTGTGTTTTCAATAATCCATTTCCATGGAAAACCACCTTGGCATTTTATCCAAGGATATGGGACTCTGCAGAGCAGGCTGGAGCAGGGAAGGAAAAAGACACCCAGGATGCTTCTGTGATGCCTCTGGGGCTGGGAGTGAGAAGAGATGAAGGGGAGGGTGCAAAGGGAGCAGTCCTAAAGTTAATCCTTCTCCTTCCCGTGGTGCAGACTTCATGGATCAGGAAGGACCAGAGGAAAAAGGAAGGTGGAAAAGAAAAGGTCTTTTGACCAACTGGCTGGTGGACCTATGTCCAGGTGGCCTTTTAGTATGTAAAAGAATGTGGAAAGTTTGTATATAATGGAATGTGTTTGTAGTGCTAAGTCACTACAGGACAGCCTGCACTCAGTTTTGCAAACATCTGCTTGGAGTTGACCAGAAATATTTCCTCACACATAGACTTCTACCACTGCTTAACCACTCCCTCTAGACTCTGTTGTGGGTCCAATGGACTAGTCTCTCATTGACATTGTAGGAAGTATGTTGGCTGAGATCACAAATTTGCTCTTATCATGTAGTGATACTATTTATTACAGCACTACTCCCTGCACTAAAAGAATCGGGGTCAATCTATATGTGTTAAATGGAACTCTAAACAATTTATGTGGGCATGTGGGCATGCATTCATGGGCACCCATAGAATGTGGAGAGGATCCAGAAGGCTCAATAAAGACAATTATGGTATTTGTCTATTGTATACAACAAAGATGGAAAACAAAGTCAGAAAAATAGATTGAAAAGTTACCTCAAATTTCTACGTCATTGTGCTTAAATATTGAGTGTTAAAAGGATGTATACCACTTTGATTGCATCTAAAATATGGAAAGGCAAAAAAATAAAATTCATGTGAATTATCCTAGGCCAGCTGCTCAAGGTGTGGTCAAAAATTAGCCTGTGGTGCTTGTGAAAAAAGCCTGCACTCCACCTCGAGCCTTCTGAGTCAGAATCTCTGGGGGTGGTTCCCGATATCCATATTACTAACAAACCCTCTGAGTAAATTTAATGTGCACCCAAAATTGAGAAACACTGAAGATGACCATCATTATCAAAAATGTACAGCCGAGACACCCAGTTCTCTATTATTAATTGTATAGTTTTGTCTTGTTTATATTAAGTATGAAATATTAGTTGATTATTCCAAGCACTGTAACAGACACTTCCGTGCTTTTATTTTTATTTTTTTCCTTGAAATTCCACATGTGGAAAAAATATGTTCTTTGAAAGCATACATGTAACTTCCTTATTCTCTATGTTTTTAGGTATAAATCTTTACAAATATGTAGATATCTGTTGATAAGAATATATTAAATATTTCTGTACCAGCTTAGGTAAATTTCTATATATTAAATTATATTTGCTCATAAAGTTAAATTACAAAAATAAATCTTGGATGCATTGCTGCTCTAGGTACAATGCAATGGGACTTAAAATTTAACAAGTGTCAACGTAATAATATGTACATATTATATGTAATGTGTCATAAGAATATAGAACCATCTTATTAAGACTTCTATAATGATAACTGTTAATCCTTTAAGTTCCATTAAGAGACCATCCCATTAAACACATATATAAAAATATAGCTGAAGTGGTGTATATACAATGGAATATTATTCAGCCTGAATAAAGAAGGAAATTTTGCCATTTGAGACAACATGGATGAACCTGGAGGACATTGTGTTACATGAAATAAGTCAGGCGCAGAAAGACAAATACTGCATGGTGTCATTTATATGTGGAATCTAAAAAAGTTGAACTCATAGAATTAGAAAGGAGAGTGGTGGCTTTCAGAGGCTGGGGTGGGGGTTGGACAGAGAAAGGGATGATGTTGGTTGAAGGGTACAAAGTTTCAGTTATGCAGGATGAATTTATTCTGGAGATCTATGTACACATGCGACTTTAGTTGATGCTACCGTACTGTGTACTCGAAGTTTTCTGAGAGCATTGATCTAAGTGTTCTAACCACACGCACACAAAGGCAAGTGTGTAAGTGACGGATATGTTCATGAGCTTCACTGCAGTGATCATCTCAATGTATGTGCATATAGAAACACCACGTTGTACATCTTAAATATATACAATTTTTATTTGTCAATTATAACTCAATATAGCTGGAAAAAATATAGCTGAGGATATTACATTGTTATTTATAGTTGAGGATATTATATATTATATGTACATATGTACAATGCATTTCCCAGTTTTGTGAGTGAAGACAAGTAGATAATCAGGAAGGACGGGAAGAAGAGGAGAACGAGGTAAAGCTATAGCAGGAGGGTGTCTGGTTTGGAGATCTTGATGACCAAGTGCTACTCACAGCACCAGAAGCCCAGCTGCCCAGAGTGTCCCATCTCTAAATGTCCCACTGTGCTCATGAAGAACTGGTGACAATCACTTCTCTACAGTTCCAAATTTGGCACCTCACATAGTCTCAAATGTTTTCTCCTCTGCTGCCCTGAACACTGGCTCCCAAAACATGTGTTTTAAAAGTCATGTTAATAATAACCCAAGGTTTTGAGCAGAACTGGAGTTTACCTGCTCCCTGTCATATCTAGAAGAGCCTGGTCCAATGTCTTCTATCTTTTTTTTTTTTTTAAAGATGACCGGTAAGGGGATCTTAATCCTTGACTTGGTGTTGTCAGCACCAAGCTCAGCCAGTGAGTAAACCGGCCATCCCTGTATGGGATCCGAACCCGGGGCCTTGGTGTTATCAGCACCACACTCTCCCGAGTGAGCCACGGGCTGGCCCAATGTCTTGTATCTTTGTTGTCAATTTAATCATCGTTTCTACAGGGCTTGCAAGGTTCTTCAGCCAGGGACAAAGGTGGTGTCATCAGGATTGCATGCTATTAGCAATTTTAGTCAGAGAAGGTACGACAGTACCTGTTGAGGTCAGATTCATTTAGCATAATAAAATGCTAAAGCCACATATTGGGCCAAAAAACCCCCACTACTAATGTAAACTTAATCAACATCTGATGCACAAAATAATATTTCTTGATTTATTTCTTGAGCACTTGCTACAAATTAGGCCTGTGGTGTTCTTTATATGAATACCATTAGAAATTCTCATCATGACCCAGTTAATCAGATCATCACCCCAACATTAAAGACCACAAAACTAGGGCACAGATGAGTTGGAGAACATGCCTGTGCTGAGCGAAGCTGGTAAATGGGAAACCTGGGATTTAAATCCACAACCATTTGTCATTAAAGGTTTTTAATTTTCCTCCATAGCTCACTATTTTTTACAAAAATATTTAGCGCTTACAGCCACACCATTGCCATTTTG